CTCATAATTTACTACTTTTCATGTGGCTTGATACTGGATCTTGTTTTGGATAGTTTAATCATGTCGAATGATTAATTAAATTATGGCTTTACATTTTTCTTTCTTTTTTGTTGGGTGGGGGTGTTTTGATAGAAATAATGGTGGTCTTATAATTCCCTTCTTTTGCATTGCAGTTCAAGTTCCTGCTATTACAAAAGCCTATTTTTACAAAGGGGAAAAAAAAACTCCTTTTCTTTCACCCCATTTTATTGAGATTATTGTGTTTCCAATATGGATATTAGTACTATCATAGTAATTTGGTGACATGGACTTTCTGTCAATTGTAATATGTAGAAAACTTGAATTAGTGTTTATTGTCATATGAAAATTGAATTTCTTGATGAATTAAATGTTTGCAAGTGGCACATCTTGAGTTGAATTCCTCACATGTTCACTCTCTCAATATATTTTCTCCCATGCTTTTAGATGGCTGAAGTTATTACAGAACAGTGGATCCAGATTCAACATCTTGAGCAAGCACTTGAAATTGCAAAGGTATGATCCTCCTGAATGATATTGGTGATATATTCTTGAAAAAGTAAAGGTCTTGACATTAATCTATCTTTTCTATAATTTTGTTTTTCTAACAGATTAGGGCAGTAGAAGAGCAAAGACAAAGGTCTATGAGATGCACATTCTTGAAGGTAAAATTGAAACTTAAAATGGGTTCTTTTGGTAATCATAAAAACTGATAGCTTCAACATTTTATTTAAATTAAATGTTTGAAATTCCCCCTGGGTCTTAACAAAGTCTAATTCTTCATGTGACTACAGTTCATCAGTGATCTTTCTGAGGTCCATCTTCCAATGCTTCTTGGGGCATTGAATTTCGATTCATTTGGCAGCAGATTTGGCCTAGCTTCGTACACCTCTCAAGCTCTGGAACGGTTAAAAAGATTATTCTCTTCAGTTAAGAAGTATCACCATGAGGTTAGTTAACTAAGCTCAGGCTCTTTGTTGTGGGAACTTGGACAATTAATTTCTATGAGATTGTGGCGGCTGGTTGTTTTTAACCATTTTTTTAATCTTAATTAGAACTACTCAAATTATGGATTATATCGGCTCAAAATAAGAAAAAGAAGAAGTCCAGATATTGGTGAAGGCTTTCATATGAACCTTCTTTGGCTCCTTTCTACAGATGACTTGGAGCTATCTGAATCTATTACCTTTGTTTACAACTCATTATGTCCTTTCTATGTATTTACATTGGCTAGGCTAAACCATGTCCAAGAAAGACCATAACCCTGCCATTGACCTAGAACCTTTACTTTTGATTTTTGAGGTAATAAGTTTTGATTTGTTTCCTTTTGTTGCAGTTGCAAGCTTTCGTTAAAAATCATATGGTAAGAAATGAGTTCACTGCAGCTCTTGCAAATGAGGAACTGGTTTTCATCTTGGTAAGTTTTGTGTATTTATTGCTATTTCACGACCTTTTTGTTGCAATAAACCACGTAACTAATCTGCCGAAATTCCAGGCTTCTGCTTTAATTACCTTCCCAATATTGAGTGCTTGGATGTTTCTGTCGTCACTGTTCAGTAGGTGAAGGTTGTCCCCTCTTCAAGCCAGCCGCTTACTCTGTTGAATTACTGGATGCATCCTAACTACCATCTATATAATTTTGAGGTCCACACTCTACATTTATAAAATTTTGTGCAATAGGTTTCTGCCTGCTATTGGCATTCAATATATAGGTTCCTGATGGAATGGATTTTATATTTTGTCTGTGAAGCTGATCTAAGATACATCTATTGGTCTATTCTTCATCGGCTTTTGGTACACACTATCTAACATATTCACTATTTGAAATGGGAAAGTTTTAATCATTTTAACCAGTTCGAGTGCAATTTTCCTGTAGGTGATGAATGATTTAAAGGCAGGATTACTGTTAATATAACACAGATCAATTATTCTCCTCATGCTGTTTTGGGAGACATTAGTTGGCTTAATGATTCTCTGCCATTATTTCATTTTCTTTACCTTTCAGAATTCCAATGTATCTTTCTTTTAGTATCTTTCATTAACACAAAAAATGACATAATAACCACGTGGATAGATTGAACCTAAGAAACTTCTTGGATCAGGTCAAAATTTCCATCTGTGAAAGATACAAAATAACATTTTCTGGTTGGTAAGGCACCATCACCTTATCCATTCTCAACCTCATCATGGAAGATGCATCCTGGGAGCAGAAGCTCCATACGCTAACCCACATACTAACAAGCCCGACAACGGCACCAACGCTCCACTCTCAGTTCTTTGTCTCCACACAGATCCCGTGTTACCTTAACTGGGACTATCCGCCGGTCCTTTGCACCAAACCTAACTCCGATACCTTTCCATCTCTCCACCTTAGGTGGGGATTCTCCCTCTTCCTTAAAAGGGTCTCCAGACTCGGGCTCCCTGAGACTTCCTGGAGGTGCAAGTGCCCGTACCAGCAGCCTCCGCCGTTGATTCTGGCAAAGGGAGTGGACGAATCACGGTGGGACGAGGTGCAAAGGAAAGAGTATGCCAGGAGGCGACTGAGGCGGAAACGCCTAATCCGCAATGTCCATCCTACAATTCCTGTTTTGGTTCCAAATTTGATAGCCATTTTTCTTCTGTTTTATTTTCCGACTCCTCCAGTGGATTGATTTGTAATCTTCATGGGAATGTGTAGAATAAAGTGTAATAATTGCTTGCACCTTAACACAAAGTTAAACATAACTTTATATTATTGATAATTAAAAGTGTTTTGGAGGATTTTATTTATATAAAAAAATATTTTACACCCTTAATCATTGAATTAAAAAAATTTTAATATAGAAGTTCTTTGTTTAATAATTAATTATAAATTACAAAATTATAAATTAATTTTACTTAAGAATCTTTATCTAAATGAATTTGTCATTTGCATTTGAACTTTTGATTCAGTGGCATCAGGTCACGTATAAATGCATTCCTCCACTTTTAGGGCAACGATTCGAATCCGATCTTTTATAAATTTGTTAAAAAAAATAAAATTTGTCATTTATTTGATCCTAAATAATTTAATGATTGATCTCCTTTTAATAAGTCTCTTGAATTTTATAGACAAATCTTCTCTAATCTCTAAAATTTTCCTTGTTTAAAAAAAAAAAAATTCACCTCTCGGTTAAATTTCCAACTCCTAAAATTAATTGTTCAATCTCCCTTTGTCAAAAACTTGATAAAAATTGACCACCGAACGCCGGGTAGGGGAGCATGCTTCCGCTAATCACGAAACAAAAGTAGACTCGAATCCTAAGTTAGGAGAATCACAACTCACTTTTGATTGGTCAAACACTTGCGTTGACAATAGTGAATTCTCCAACCCCCATAATAATAAGAATTTAAAAAAAAAACAAAAAAAAAAGAAAAGAAAAGTGACGTGGCAATTTCTCCGCCCATCATGCAGCATCATTCAATCGTTCCAACGACCGTAACCTGAATACCGACTAGAATTTATTACGCTCTTTGTCCTCGTCTCCAAAGGTAAAAGAATGAAAGCCACACCCCCACATGGATCGAAAGTTCCCTACACAAAACGTCAATCCTTCTTCCTTGGCTTGTCCTAGACAAAGATAAGTTTTCATCATTGTCACCCGATCATGATCGAGTTCTTTTAACTTAATAACTCTTTGAATTAAAATATTAAATCATACTCAAATTATATGAATATCATAAATTGAATATGTTATAAATTTAAAAGGAAATTTTAGTTTAACTATTTATAATTTGAGATAAGTACACATAAAGATTTAGAGTTTTAAAATGTACATATAATATACTTTAAATTTTGGATATATGTAGATAAAAACCTAAAATATCAAAATGTGCACATAAACACTTAAGATTTACACTTGGTGCAAATATTTACTTGAAATTTCTTAAAAACCCTCAATTTAAAAGAATAAAAAGAAAAGAAAAACAAGGATATTTAAGATAATTTTATGTAATTTCAAGTGATTATATACACAAAGTACAAATCTTAAATCCTTATTTGTACATCTTGAAATCTTAAGTTGTTATGTGCACCCACCTCAAATGACAAATATATTATATATACATTTTAAAATCTTGAATCTCTCTATACACCAACCTTAAACCACGAGTAATTAAATTATAATTTTTTGTAAATTTAAATGTAGTTCATACATATATATATATATATATATGGATGTGAACTAATATAAACAGCATTAACTTCAATGATTTCATAGGAAACTCTTAGTCTTTGGACTTGAGAGATAAAAGCAATGCCAAGGGTAAAGGAAGCCGAAGCTTCGTTTTTTCCTTTTAGCTTTTTCTTTACTTATCCTTTTTTGCTAAGTTTTGCTTTTTCTTTTTATTCAAGCCTCTTTCTCTTTTCCTTGTGCTGTGGCACCAATTATGTTCAGAAATTTAAAGCTTGCTGAAGCAATTTGGTAACCAACATTGAACCACAATTAAGAGTATATGGAGCCCTTCTTAACGACAATCTTGCAAGTTTTGCACTCCAATTATTTATGACGGAAATTAATGGACTTTGATTTGTATATTTATGGTAAATAAAAGAATTAGTGAGAGAGAGAGAGAGAGAGAGGAGAAATAACGTAGATGGGTGTAAAGAAATTAATGTCAAAATAAAATCTAATGAAAATTACTAGCCTAATCTCTTAGAGGAGAAGTAGCTTAGAAAAGGTACTTACATGAGAGGTGTGTGTCCTTGGGGATAGGGCCATCAACCTTATGATGGTGGAAGGCAGGGGCTGTCCTTCGCTCTGGACAAAGCGTTGAGGGCACATGCAGGGCAACCAAATGTCACTATCATTATGTCCCACACCCAGCCACTCCTCCCCTCAATCCTCGCATAATTAGACGCCCTTTTTCCGTGCGCAAATCCTTTGGACTAATATCAGATGCGCACAATTTTCTAATAATTTTTTTTTAACAAAAATAATTATTTTTTATTTTATTTCAGCCACCGTATAATACAATTCGAATTTAAAATTTTTTATTTTCAAAAAAAAATAATTATTAAATTATTTAAATCATTAACTTTTGAATTGTAGTCTTTAAGTAATTTTTGTACAATTTTAAATTTATTTTTTATCAACTAATATTAAAAACACATTTGTCAACTGTCTAAGAAATCAATTGTAACTTCCTTTCGTGACAAGTAAGAGTTTTTGAATTTTGAATTTAAATAGTATATTATGCAAATAAAGTAAGTTAAAATATAAAAAAGGTTATTTTTTATTATACAATTAAAAAACAAAAAAACCTCCTACATCAACATGTGTATTTAATAAAATTAAATCTTTTAATTATTAATATAAAAATTGGAACCTTAAAAATACCCGCAAACAACTTTAACTTACTAGCTAGTAGGTTCAAATCCTGAGGTTAAATTTCTAATTATATTAACACAGGTTTATATATTTTGTGGTGTTTTGTGTGTACAATATTAGATGTAAGGTAAAATATTTTATAATTTGAATTATTTTAGAGTATAAAATATTAATTTTTTGATGAAAAGAACCTTTGATATTGAGAGCTTCCTCCTTATTAAAAAAATTTTTATTTCATAATTTAAAATAATTCAAATGATGAAACAAATGTACCCTTAAATTTATTATATAGTCTTTAAGAAAGTGTCTCAGCCAACGAAAGTTCTTAAAGATCAAATTTTGACAGAAATGGAGTGATATATACGAAAACAGAAATCTTGGTGCAATGAAGACAGTTCTATCTTAACCCGATATGCTTTTGGGGTAGAGGGTTAATAGAAACCGGTGTTTAATTTCGTTGAAGCTTCTTCTTTCCCATTAAACATTTTTGGAATTGGATTTATCTTAATCCAATGGAGACAGTACTAGCTTTATTCTTTAACCCTTTTCGGTTGGTTGAGCTTTTGATCCTCCATTAATTTAGTTTTGCTTAGAAGATACGGGAAGATAATCAACAGCTTTAGCTGAAAATAACAGTCATTTTTAGTGAGTCATCCTATGGATTCTTGATGTTTTAAAGTGGAAAAGCCTCCATCGATGATGATAATGATAATGATAATAATGATGATAATTATAATAATAATAATATATGTTACTTAAATATAACATAAATATATATTCTATTTCTTGTTAATTGATTTCCGTTTAAAAACTCATATGTTTTTGAATCTATATGTCCAATTTTTATAAATATTTAAAACAAAATAATTCTTAATTTCCTTTAACAGCTTTTGTTTTGAGGAAAAGGATGAGGAGAGTAAGTGAAGACTTTAAATATAACATGAATAATTGATATAAAAAAAAAAAACATGAATGAGATTTTACTTATATATAATCCTTACATATATTATTTTTATAAAATTTTAATAATTCATCTCTACACTATAAATGATTGAGATTTATTCAATTTTTTTTTTATTTTTTAAAAGATAATTTTTTATTTAAAAAATATGATAAATCTCAATAATTAATAATGAAGAAATAAATGATCAAAATTTTATGTAAAAATGTATATAAAGATTGATTAACGTACATTTCAATTCAACACATTATACAACATTCTTATTAAAAAATTACTAGTTGTTTTCTAATTTAAAATTAAAAGCAAACAATCTTAAAAATATAATTATACATATAAAATATAAGAACTGATTAAATTAATTATATTTATATTATATTTTAATAATTAAATTAAAATAAATATAAAAAAATTAAATCGAATACATACGATTCATTTTCCAATTCGTAAAAAAAGTTACATGCGGTAACTCCAAAAACATGACAAAAACTTGCTTTTAGCCTCTCACCTTATCAATTTTAAAGGTTTTAACCTTTTATTTTATGTTGTGACAGTTTTAACTCTTCACCTTATTAGATTTATAGATTTTAACCCATCATCTTATATTATAACACTTTTAGCCTATTATCTATTAAAATTGAAGAAAATAATCATCATTTTGTAACATTTTATTAGTTCTATTAGTGACTGTTAACTCTATTAGTTAATTGTTAATTGACTGTTAACTAACAAAAACTAGTTGGCTGTTAATTGACTGTTAACTGACAAAAACTTTCTTTCAGCTAACAAAATTAACAGAATTAATTTTATAATATTTCATTAATTCTATTAATTGGTAATTAGTTGATTGTTAACTGATAAAAACATAAAATAAGAGGTTAAAACCTTCAAACTTGATAAGATGAGGGGCTTAAAGTAGGTTTTCGCCCAAAAATATATAGGGGGAGTAGGATAGAATATTATTATGTTTAAACGCAAATTTCTGCTTAAGTAATCTTCCCATATGGGATTCTTTACCCTTTAATAGGGACTACAATCATGACCCTCCTCTGTCCCATTTTCACCTAATGACCCAGAAAAAAACTAAGAAGTCCTATATAAAGATTGGATTATCACATCCTTCCCATCGCTCTATTCTTCACTACTTGTTCTTCGGCATTAACTAGCTCCAGCTGCTTCCACCTCCACCCCCCTCCTCGCCAATCATGGCTTCTGCATCCAAACTCCTCTCCGTCTTGTTCCTCCTCCTTGCCCTCTCCATGCAGATTAATGCTCGAGAATTCTTCAGCAAATTCTCAAGTGTGAACACCAACAACAACGTTAATGACAAAGAGACAACAACTTCCAATGAGCAGCAGCCAGAGACCTTCCTCCCAGAGAACCAAAAAACTGAACTCCCCAAAAAGGAGGAGCAGCAGTATGTTACCAAGCAGCAGCAAGAGCCCACTTTCCTTCCTCAGACCCAAACCCAGAGCGGTTACGGCCTCTACGGCCACGAGTCTGGCCAGTACCCTCCAGAAACCACCACCACCACCACAAACAACAAAGTCACTTATGCACCATATGTCACCCCCATCAGATCTGGAACTTTTGAGAACTACCCCAACACCAACACCAATAACAACAACAACAATTACTATTATAACAACAACAATGCCTACGAGGCTGACCAGCAACAGAATTTGGGCGGCGCCAGGTTTGCTGAAAGCGGTAGTTACAGGACAACCGCCACAAATGAAAACAATTACTACAACGGCAATGGTTACAACAACAACGCGGAGAGGCAGGGCATGAGCGATACAAGGTTTATGGAGAACGGAAAGTACTTCTATGATGTCCAGAACGAGAACAACTACTACCAGAACCAGCAGTCCCAGCAGAATACCAGAGTACCTTCGAGGACTGAGTACAGTTATAGCAACAGGGGAGCTGGTTACTATGGAAACAATGCAAATTCTTACAATCCCATGAATGACCAGAGGTACGAGAATCAAGAAGACTTCGAGGAGGAGTTCGAGCATTGAACAACGGAAAGCTGAAGAATGTTAATTACCGTGATGAGCGGTGTTAGGCAAGTTTAATTTAGAGAAATTAAGAGTAAAGGAGAAGTGCATTTTAATTTATTGGGTGTTTGTGATTACTTTTCTATGTTTTTTTTTGGGAGTTTGCATACTACTGTATCATTTCCAAGCTTTGAAAAAGCTTGGGATGAGATTGATGATATGGATCGTTATGGCTTTTGTTTTAATATAATATTAATAAAAATGAATGAATGTATATTTTACGCATTGTTTTTTTTTTAAATAATTATCTTGAGCAAGCATCTAATAATGTCAATTATATGATTCATTAAACTTTTAAACAAAGTGATTCAACTAATTAAAAGTATTATATTTTTAATTAAAATGTTTTATATTCGAATATTAAAATCGGATGAAGAAGAGTTTGAAAAACAAAATATTTTTTTAATATAATTTATTATCAAATATACAAAAAATAATATGATTCATTCAACTCACGTCTTAATTAAGTAGCTCTACAATAAAATTTCTTTGTAAGGTTAAGAGGTTTAATTCGAGTCTGCTGGTACGAGACAGGAGCCTGGTCTCTTTCACATGATGATAAACATAATGGAGGCACCATTTTTATGGCCAACATAACAATAGTAGGAGCTTTCGGTAGTGTGACTTGGACACCTTTGATCAGTAACCAGGAGGCCCTGGACTCACTGGTCCATATGCTTCAAAGTTCAAACAAAGGTACACTCACTTTTCTTCGTTTAATCTTGGATTCCCTTCAATAGAAGGCATCTAAAGGAAACATGTCATTATTTATTTGTACACAATAATAAGATAGTGTTTAACCACTAATTGTTAATGGCCCTAGGGTTAGCAAGTTCAATTTATACTTTGTTTATGGAATCCAAGGTGGGTACTTTACACAATGCAGCGAAAAAGTCATAAGAAATATTGTAGAACACTGAACATACATAGTACTAAACAGCATGTAAAAAAATCAAGAAGTTCTAATATTAAAATTGTCAAAATATTTAATTACTATCATTATTTAAAATTATTATTTAAGTGAACCTACTTAAGTAATTTTATTTAAATTATTATTAAGATTGACTGTTCTAACAGTTTTAATGACAGAACGTACTGATTTTCACTTTTTAGTAAGACCAAAAAGTTGATATAATATAAAGAAAAAGGAAAAACCGAAAAAGAGAAGATCACCAGCTAAGCTCAACTAAACGTTAAAAACCTACTTAATATTGTTAACTCCCTATCCTAAATCCTAGCCGAGGATAAAGGAGCATGCTAAATGCAATTAATATATAATAATTTGTCCATTTTTATTTATTTTATTTCGCATTCTTCCAAAAACTTCATTTAATTAGCTTGAGATTGGATAATTAGTGATTTACAATATTTTTTTACATAAATTTTTACAAGTCACAATAATATTATGATATCAAATGAGAAGATATATATAATATTTATATATTTTATTATTAAAATAAAAATAATCAAATAAACCCACCTTATTTACATATTGCAATATTTGTAGGATTCTAGTAGTATCATTAAACGACTTTGTTAAAAATAATTTTTATTTGCAAAACAGGATCTCAAACCTGTCTTAAAATGGTCCCCTCTAAAATATCAATTTCAACTAGAGAAAGGGATACGGACGCCAAAATTGATGGTCAAGACTTAAATTTAGTTGGCAAACCACTGGCAAGGGAAGGTATAGGGAGGGCCCCCCATTGAACTTTAACTCTATAACCTAAAGGTAAAGTATCAAAAACAAATATAAGGAAAATTAATTCAAGGACAAAAGAAAGAGGGGGAAAAATTAAAAATCAAGCATTTCAATTTGGATAGTTTTCATTTCTCCGTGATTGATGGATGGACCAACTAGCTGGCTATTCTTTATTTTTAAACTTTATATGTATTTTGCTTTAGGGTCATTGCCTTTTTGACTATCGAATCTTTACTAACGTTTGGGGGTATTTTTGAAGTTAGGTTTCACTCACATTGCCATATTAATTATCAATATTTACAACTCTTAGGGTAACCCAACTAACTGGATAACACTCGTAATAGCCAATAAATATGTTAATGGTATATATACAGTTGTCTCCTTTTCATGCAATGTTAATTAAGGTCTTCTATCCAATCAATCGGCCGGGCCAATTCTCTCCCATGTCCTTAATAACTCAATTCATCACACCCCATGCTATTTCATTCTAAATTATAATTCAAGATTTTTTAATTTCACTTAAAGAAGATAAATGTTAGATTATTTAGGGAGTATTTGGTTTAAAGATTGAAAAACAGCTATCAATTAGCTATTAGCTATTATACCTAATGGAACGATTCATATTTTTTGGATTATAAATGATAATAATAATTTGTTAAATATTAATTATCAACTATAATTGTATCAAAACAGTCAATCCAAACACCTCATTAGATTGTTAGCAAGTACTTTACATCAAATAACTCATTTGTACAATATAATCAAAATGAATATATAAAGTTATATATAAATTTCTTATTCTAAAATCTAAACTTTTTTTTTTTTCATTTTGTTCTTGAACTTTGGCTTAGTGAGTGGTTATGGCAACACAATATTATCTTGGGACCTTACAGTTTAATTAATATTTTATTATCAATTTATAATTTTTTTCTTAAACAAATGCTAGAAACATTTGGCTATAAATTGATTTTAATTTATTAAATAATAAATTTCAACTACTTTATTAGCTGTTAGTTATTTTTAATAACTAACTTAAATAAAATTAATATTTTAAAAAATTAATAAATTCATGTAGTTCTAACATATAATTGCGTGGTTAAAACCACAGCGTTGGCTTTATTATAGATATATGGAAGCATTTGAACAGGCGTATTTACTGACCTCAACCGAAGAAATGAGAACATATTATGGCAAAAGTACTCATGATGCTGCTGGGTCTAGAAGGGTGAAATATTATGAAATAGGCATATAATAGTAACAGAATAATTGCACCCACACCAACCCTCTTATCAGGTCTGAGCACCCTCTCTCTGTTCCCCCCACCATGCCACCATCAATTCCCACTCCATGCTATCCAATTCTATTGTTTTCCTCTTACCTGTTTCGGTCACCAGCACTTTATTAAACAAGTCTAGGTAAAATAATTAAATTAAAAACCGATCAGAAAGGTTAATCATCAGTTAAAACTACACGTGAGGTTGTTATAATTAACTTAATTGATAAATACATGTTTAACATTCTAGTGAAATGAGTTCAAACCATCTCCCAGCTCCTA